TTATTGAATTAGCTCATTTGCATACATTTTAGCACATAAAATTGGAACACTCTTGTTACCATATTAATCTATATAACTCTCACTATATTATTCTTGTCTATCTCACTATATTATTCTTGTCACCATATTCTATGTTACACTTGTCGCTATAATATCATTATACACTTTCCCAGTTGACTGATTACTGCACATTACTTTAGTTTTATAAAATGTTATGTTTAATTATTCAAATAAGGCATCGTTTATTATTAAATTACCTCATTTGCATACTTTTTAGCACAAAAATTGGAACACTCTTGTCACTATATTATCTGTTGTAACTGTATTATTCTTGTACTCTCTTGTCACTATGTTATTATCACTATACTCGTCTCCAGTTGACTGATTACTATACATTACTCAAGTTTTATCAAATCGTACGTTTAATTATTAAAATAAGGCATCATTTATTATTAAATTAGCTAATTTGCATACATTTTAAACACACATATTAGAACACTCTTGTCACCATATTCTCTTGTCACTACTCTCTTTTCACTATATTATTATCACTATACACTTCCCCAATTGACTTATTTCTGTACTTTACTCAAGTTTAATCAAATGTTATGTTTAATTATTCAAATAAGCCTTCATTTATTATCAAATTAGCTCATTTGCATACATTTATAGCACAACAATTGGAACGTTATTGTTCATTTCCTCAATACATTTCAGAGGAGGTTTTTACAAAGTATTGGGGAAGTCCCTTTTAATCACTTCATATATATATACCCCCCAAAAATGTCATTTGACATTTGCTACTTGTTTAAAATGAGATGCAACAACAAAAATCTTTTTTTAGACAACTTACGGTGATTGTTTTATGTTTAATCTACTTAAATTAGTAACAATTAATAAGTTAACTTAATTCCTTCATGTTGTCACAACACAAATCAGTTTTTTTATAGGGCAGTTAAAATTCACTCTTCTAACATCCAGAAGCAAAACACTCAATTTTTTTGTGTATATGTAAATGTGGCTAAAGTGGATATTTATCATGAGAAAGCAAAGAAACAATCAGGTAAAACAAAACAGTTAAAGGTGTGATTCAGATGTTTCTCTTAAAATAATTGGAGTAAATACTTTTTAAAAAGGCAAAGAGCATAAGATCTGAAAACTGAAATGTGACTACCATGTGTGATTGAGTAAGTCTTTAATTAATTCAACCTCTAAACAGAGAAGAGATGTATGCTTATTACATTTTCAGCACATTATGAACCAGAAGTCCATGTACTGAATGTTTGAGAGGTTGCCAGGTTGTGGGTGTGTGACCTTGATGATGGGTGTTATTATCAGTTCTGCACATGATTGGCTCATTCAGGGGCAAAAATAAAGGAGTGAATTTGTTGAGGAAAACAAACTACTGTGTTTGTTTAAAGATGTTTTTTTCTTCACTTATTTTTCACTCATTTAACAAGCAAAGCATTAACAAAAGAGACAGAGTCACAGAACAAGGAATTAAAGCTATGCTTGCTTTTTATTTCTCACTTTTTTGGGAAACAATCGCTCCTGATGCAACACAATGTTGTAGAATGATAAAGTAGAATTTAGTAGTGGCAAAGAGAGAGAGACCTGTGCATTTTTTCCACCCATTATATACCATGTCTTGAAGGAAGACGACGAATAAAAATGACATAAGTATACTGGAGTTGAAAGATGTTGGCAGAAAGACATTTTTAAAATTATTTTTCTAACTATTTACACTACAGTTCAAAAGTTTGGAACATTTGAGATGTGTCAGCAAGGCTTCAGATTGTATATATATTTTTAAAAAAATTATTTCTTCCTGTGAATCAAAGCTTATTTTTCTAGCAACATTTCCCCAGGCTTCAATATCACATGATCCTTCAGAAATCCTTTTATTATTATAATTTATTATGATCAATTATTGTTGGTGATAAGTCATTGGCAATGGTTCTTATTATTCATTTTCTGCTTTATGTTTTTGTGAAAGCTGTAGTAGGTTTTACTTTTTAGGATGATTTAATGAATGAACGGTGCAGAATAAGAGCGTTTAGTTGAAATTAATTATTTTCTGAGATTACTAATGTCTTGTGATGCCTTTTTTGTTCAATTTAAGGTGTCTGAATAAAAGTATTCTTTAGAATTAAAATAAAAAGAAACATACGAATGATAAAACATCACAATTTCTACAAAAATATAAACATGTGAAAAAAGATGGAATAAAGATGATTGAAATCCACTGAAATCACAGATAGAGTTTATATTGTAAAATATATAACCGTTGTTTTAATGTGTAATAACATTTAAGGGATTTCACTGTATTTTTGATTAAATAAATGAAGCCTCATTGAAAAGAAGACATTTTGTTCAACAATATTAACAAATCCTTGTTTCCACATTTTGGACTGGTAGTGTATTTCAATAGAAAACAAACAATAGTTTTAAATAAAGGCTAAGTCAAGCCAACATTTGGTAATACTATCAGATTGCTTTCTTTCAAAGACTGTAATGGAGAGGGGAAAAAATATGACAGTGATGAATAGGACATTGAGCGGCCCATTCTTCAAGGGATAGAGTTATGCATGTTTCATTAAACCAATACAGAAAATAGGTCAGATTAGTCAGGAACTTGACCGGAGAATCCAATTTTTCTTATAATCTCTCCACAAATAGCAGTGTGGAGAAAAGAAAAAAGACCTATAGTATGTACTTTTCTTTTGGTCTTTGTCAAAAATGACGATTCAGTATAGAATCAAATATATTCACCAAATACGACCAATCAGCATGCAGGTTTATCAAGACGCCCTCCTGAGGTAGGGTTAACACAGGCCAATACTTGTTGACCATATGCAACAAAAGCAGAAACAAACCATGCTGCTAAATTACCTCTTGGTTTAGAATGTGCAATAAAATACTAAGCCGGTGGTATATTTCATTTGCAAAAGAGTACACACCCTTTAAACCTGGAGAATGGCAAGGACCTGCCTTAGCAAGTTTGAGCTTTTAAATTAAACCTTGATGTATTTTACCGCTCAAAAGTTTGGGGTCAGTACGATTTTGAAAGTTTATCAAACAAAGCTATATTATTCTTGAGATTTAAAGCTTTACTTTTAGCACCAATACTCCAGTGTTCAGCGCCCATGATCCTTCAGAAACAATTTAACATGCAGATTACTATTTTGGCGAGCATTTTCTATTATCACTGTTGAAACCAGTTCTTTAAATTTTTTAACATGTAAAAATGTCTATAGAGTCAAACTTTTAATAAAGCATAACATGTCTTTGGTGAATAAAAGCAGTAATTTCTTTAAAAATGTCATTACAGGCCCCAAAATTTTGAATTGTAGCGTATGTCTTGTATAACTGTTTTAACAAAGGGCTATTCGTAATGTACTCTTTCAGTAGGTATTACAATATAATGTTGACACATATCAAGATATACAGTATATCATATCGCAAGGTACTTGCTAATTCCCAGCAGTTCCTTGGGCAACCATGACATCAAATGATCATCTATGACTACAGTACAAAAATATAACATGAATAAAGAGCAAATAAAACATATTCAAAAAGCATACAGTTTCAAACTCCCATGTCTCAAACACAGGATGCAAAACATCTCAGACACCTGCTGCAATAAACGGAGAGTTCACCCAAAAAAATGAAAAGTTGTGTCATCCTTGACTCACTTTCACCTTGCAGCAAAATCATAAGGCTTTCTTTCTTTTGTGGAACACAAACATAACTTGATGTCCCAATTAGGTTGTGGCATGGAGGATTTTAAAAGTACGATTACAAGCCAGTTTAAGAACCTTTACTCTCCACTGAATATTTCTGTTGTAAATAGGTTCTTTTAGTGCAATAAAAGATCTTGTAACATGCTCTTAATAAAATAATTTTCTTTCTTTTTCACTGCAGTGAAAACCTCCTCTTGGAACTATAGTTTTAGGGTTCATTGTGCTAAATGTGCTAAAAAATGTGCTAAAAAAGATAAATATAACACTCAAAATAATCCCATTTCATACACATATGCAAAAATGGCTAGAAATGCTGTATTATTCATGCCAGGTCACCAGTTGGCAAAGTCTCTCAGCATTTTAAGCAAAATGTTAAGTTGCAAAATGTTGTTAGGGCGGCTTATAAGATCTTATAAGCAACTGTAAACAAGGGAAGCATAATAAAGTCACCATGGTGTAATTTTCCCTACATCAGAATTTATTTGGCAAATGCGTTTCCATCTCCATTATTCACGTTAATAACTTGTCTCACAATTCCAAAATCCAATATAAGCTCATTCTGAAAACATAGCCTAATATACATTTCTGGAGATCATGAATTATGTAGCCAGATTTACGTATGGCTGCATTTAGTCTTTAAAACGAGCGTTATGGGGTGGTATGACACCATTTCTTTCCTCGCATGTACCACCGTATGAAGGGCTTTTCCACTGTTACCAGTTTGTCCAGTAGCTCGACATGTACGTCAGCGTACTTGAGTCGCAGAGCGTAGTTGACCGTGACAATGGCAATAGCAGAATCAAAGTCTGGTGAAGAACGGTTCCAGAAGCCCAGTAAGATGAAAACTAAATTTAAAAAAAAAAACAAGTAAGTAAGACGGTGAGAATGTGGTAAAACCTGAAAACGTGGTAAAAATCAGACTAGGACTTTTTTTCTGGATTTCTTTTTAAAACACTGCTCTTGGGTTCAGGGAAGGGGGTGGGCAGGTCAATCTGTGCTTTTTAAAACACTGTTGGTTGGGTTTAGGGAAGGGGGGGGATCGGTAGGTTTGTCAGTCAGTAAATCAGTCAGTCGACAGTGGCCTTTGGTGGATTTCTGAAAAAGCATACACAGCAGCCTCTGGTGGATTCACGAAAACAAAAACTGCAAAAAACATATCTGCTGGGACGTATTTTGCTCTCTACAGAAATGTATACAGGGGTAGGTAATCAGAATGAGCCTGGGTTGCCAAAACCATCTGAAGTGAGCATAATTTTGTTTGGCTGATTTTTATTTAAAATTTGGTATTTCTAAGACTGATTTCACACATGGTCCATCAAACTGCACATTAATACAGGGTGATGGAAACCCAACTGTTGTTACTTTTGCACTTAAACCTATTTTCCCAAGTTTGCATTTTCAGGCCCCCAAAGTGTGCAATAATGAATAATCAAAGCGCATACATTTTTTCTGGTTTCAGCCTGGCATGAATAGATAACAAGTGCACAGTATTAAGTGGATAGTAATACTGCATGGCATTATCCTACAATCATTAAACTTATCACTGATGTTAATGGAGAGTGCAGCTTATGGTTGCCAATGGGCAACGCAATTTAGTGGCTAATTTGTATGATCCCATTAGTACATTTTAATACAATTTGCATATCCCCATATATGATGGTTGGGTTTAGTGGTAGGATCTGGAGGCACTGCTCCTTTTAAAATCTATACTTTTCATAATAATGAAATCATATCTGACAATTTGTCAAATTGTTATGTTTCCTCATGAGATTGGACTGCAATGGCAGACACCACAGGAGCTCAAGATCTTGAGTGATTTGAAAAAAAAGGGAGAACTTGTATGAACATTGCTACCTTTTCGGGCATAAATATGTAAACGGCTCCTAAGACAGTCCCTTTCCATCCATTAATTTTAATAAATGAAGAAAAAAACACAGAAGAGTTTTTGTGCTCCACAGAAGAAAGAAAATTGAGTTTGGATTGACTTTTTCCTATTTGAGGGTGAACTCGTCCTGTAAAAGAGATGCATGGCCACACTTTGTTTATCTGGTGGCTGTAACCTACAGATTTCCCTAACCCACAGGTTTCAGTGTAGGCAGCGCCTAGCTTATACTGCTCACTCACTCGTTTAAAACTGACTGCAGAATACCTACAGGCCATAAACTTGTTAAGTGCTCAATAAAGAACACTTAACATTAGTTAGGATGTTCTGCGCACTAATGGGATAGTTCACCAGAAATACAACCTCTGTCATTATTTACTCGCCCTGTTGACATCCCAAACATGAGAAATTGGAAAAAATTTAGCAAATTCAATGAAAGTCAGAGCAATCTAGTGCTGTGTGTTTGATTCCATTGACTATCGTGGACATATAGTTTACCAGAAGAAAGAAGGTTTGGAATGACATGAGGGTAAACAATAATGACAGACCGCTCACTCTTAAGTACTTTAAAGTAGTCCTTGGGCACACGAAGAGGGATCGCAGGCAAATGATCCTAAACAAGACTTCAGCACCCCATTTACATTGGATCTATGATCAATAGAAGTTCAGCACTTGTGGTCACGGTTGTCCATCGGTTCTATACATTATAAGTGTAGTCTGTCAGGTAATCCTTCAGCCGGTTGGGCAAAGGAAGTTCTTGTACCCGTCGTGTGGTTTTATTGATGGCAATACGGCACAGGTGCTGCAGGGACGGCGTGGCCGTGTACACCGGAGTCGTGAGAAGCAGCTGCACGGTACCATTGGACGGGGCGATTTGGTTAGTCCTGCCTTTACAAGACGTCCGGGACAGCTGCACGTAATGCTCCACGAGATGCACCACGCTGTCGAACTGCTTGAGTTTGGGTTTGACCAGCACCACAGAGTCCAGCTTGAACTTGCCGTCCTTGTATTCGATCCGCAGGTTGGTCGGTCCCGCAGATGTCATGGCGGAGATGGTGAAGAGGTAGTCCCTCTGAGAGCTGTCCCGGACGAGAAACGTCCCCTCCGACGTGTCCTGCAGGATCTCCTTGGCTTCATTGGCTGTCAGGCTGCCCCAATACCAGCCTGCTTCCAAGAAAAGAAGACACAGAGATGGTCATGCATATCCGCTTCCACTGTATCTGTTTCAGTCGTTTGCTTGTGTAACATGAGACACATAACTCGTTCCTCTAAGGACACGCACACAAAAACCGACACAGCTACATAGTCATAAACTGGCTCTTCTGTGTTTTTTTTTGTCAGGCATTTTCTGAATAGATGAATAAGAAGTCTCAGCACGTCACGTTCAACCTCGCAGCTCTGTTTCCCCTGATGCACAGGGCTAAATCGCATCTGATAATGCAGCAAAAAGCAAGCACTTCCGAAATGAGCTGTTAAATAAACGTTAATTGAAAACATTATGGCAAATGTGGCACAGCAAGACTAAACAACGCTGCGAAAAATGTCAACAAAGATGACGTATCTTTCCTGAAATACTGAACTAGACCATCTGACTGTTTCGTCTTGGGAGTTTATGAAATTTTTTAAAGGCAGATGTTTGGCAGATGTTCCCAAAACGCCTCAGAATGTTTTGCTCCACAAGAAAACAAACATAAAGTGGACATTTTGTAGAATCATTATCACTGTATGTTGTTTTTTTCTCTTAATATAATGTGCAATGGAATAAATTAAAAACAGAAAGGCATGCGGTAGAGATGTGAGGACAAATGTTCCAGCCAGGACAGGAAACATAACAATGGCTTTATAGACATGATAATGTCACTCTTTTGTTGCAAAATAGCAAAACAATAAATGTAAACAGTAAAAGCTTTGTCAGGAAATTCACATGGCTCCTACTTGCATTCATTTACTCCATCTCAGGGTCAAAAAGGGGGCTTATGGGAAAAATGCCACGTAAAAGTTACTAAATGACCCTGGAATTCAGTTTGTGGGGGCGAACATTGTAAATACTTAGTATTACTTAGCAATAGCATTTGAATAATTTTTAATCTTCATATATAATAAACACAGATTATTTGGATCAGTGAATTCACTAAGTTCAACTACTCATGTAACAGAGTGAAAAACTCTCTCACCAAGAACATGCATTTTTTTTTCCAGAAACCCAAATTGGTTCAAATGGCCCCTTTTTATATTTTCATGATTATCTTCTGCTCAAACAAAAAAGCAAAAGTGTAATAATGTGTAATAATACATTAACAGCAGTCCTGAAACAACAAGTTCAACCAAATACCAAAACAAACCTGCTTTAAATATATTAACAAACTCATGCCATGAACACGTTTTAATGCAGACCTGCTGCCAGTTTAAATGACACTAAAGACGACCTTTAAACGTTTTATTAAAATTCCACATAATCGCTTAAACAGGTTTTTTTTTTACTACCAACATCAAATTTGATGCATTTAAAATTATTATTCCTTACATGAAGCTCTGCCCCGAGGCTGCGTGTCGACTACACAACATGAACTCAGAGAGTAATATAGGCCTACTGCAACAAATGCAGAGAATGTGGAAGTAAAAAAAGAGCAGTAAACGTTTACCAGTGTTTTTAAGGTCTCTCATGGCAGTGGCAATGCGACTCTGCTCGGTGTCGGCGACTTGGGTTTCGGATTGCGATCTCCTTTCATTCTCGATGCTTTCCGTGGAGTCGGATGAGTGACAGGTCATTGGAGAACCGCGTTCTGCATCCAGTCAATGTCTATAATTATCCCTCAGAGACGACTGACTCTTACAATCAACCAAAACATGTGAGAAGTCTTCCACAGCGTCCGTGGATTTTATTTGGCTGAGCCGATCTGAAAAAACAAAACAATAAATAAATAAATAAGAAATGTGTTTCAGACGACAGAATGCGTAACGTGGCTGCACGCCCCCGAAAACAAATAATTAAATAAATATTAGTGTTTTTGCAGCAATGCAATATAGAAGAACATTCAGAGTGCTTAAAATGACATGTTTTCTCTTAGTGTGAAGAACATTTAATACTAAAAATTATTTGCACTATAAATAAACTCAAAGATTTATGATTGTTAAATATTTTTTGAGGAACCATCGATGCCACTAATTACAGAACAACTTACATTTTTACGAGTGTATAAATGGCATTAGATAGGGCTGTCACATCATTTCTAACATAGTCAGCAAGTCATTTGGTTTTTCTATACTCACACAATAATTTCACTATTATCTGGTGCTAAATGAAGCTGTTTTACCAGTATCAATTAATTTCAAGCACATACAGTGTTGTTTTACAGTCTTTTTCCTGACTTTAACACTAACAGAAAATGCTGAGCATAATCAAAATAACTTCTTCCCCTCTCAATTCATTTTAAATATTTATCTTAACGTGGTAAACCAACGTATTAAGCTGGAAACAAACAGAAAATCACAAACACAGCCAAGCGTAATAGACAGCAGTGTGTGTTTGTCATTCACATTTGTGTTAAATTTAGCAGCAACGTCCTATTTCGCTTAATATTTGTGAGCCCAGCGGAATGTAAAACAATGTTACAAATACTCCACGTATATTTAAACATGATATTTATAGTTTTTAGGGTGATTTTAGTATGATTGTATATAGGCTTATATAGGCCAGTTCTGTCGTTTATATAAGTCGTTATGAAATCAAGGTATAAAACAGATAAGAAATCACACTTTGTTCCTACCTCAAATTTGTTCATGTCCCGTAAATCCTTTATAATTTACAGTCTGTCTGCTGTCACCTCGGGAGGGTGGTGCACGCATATGACAGTGATTCACCCCTGTAGCTCATTTATAATTGCTTATTTGGAAAAACTCATTAAATGGCAGTGCACATCTTCACTGAATAATCCAAAGGTCAGGGTTAAGCACTTATAATTAGTTTTCTGTTCTAGCTTTTAATATAATTAAGTAAACGTAATAACACGTCTCCACATCTTTTTAATCTTCAAAACATCACAGACGTCCCTCTACAGTGTGAGTAGCCGATTGCGCACGTGCATGAGGAATAAAAACAAAGGCAGCTTTTAAGACACGGCAAAATACGCAGAACTGCCTTTACTAGGAAACTGCATTGACAGCTCGTGATAAATGATAGTGTGACAAACGAGATAAACCACTGTATTTTCTACACACCGCCTATAGCGAAGACACCTCCACACGCGTAAATCCTTCAAATGGATCAAAAGAAATAAAAAAAACATGTTCTTAAGTATAAACCTGAGCCTGGCGGACGACAGTCAGAGAAAGCGCACATCACTTACCTTTTGTCTAGTGAAAGCAGTAAGCAATCAAGTCCAGCGCGGTTCGCGTTACAGACGCTCAATGGCACCATCATTTATTAATGGGAAGCACTGATCGGTTCTCTGTCAGTCGTCCGGTGCGTCCTGATGCGCAGCAGGTCGGGACCCGTTTTTCCTTGTATTTGCATCGATTCTTTGGGAGGCGACACTGCACTCCACAAACGGCGACACTGTCTGTCCAAAAGCGCACCGCACGCGCCGTGCGTCCAAACGCGTTATAGCGCGCACCAAAGCGAGGAGGACACATATAATTACTTACTCCAGCAGTTTAGTTATATTCCAGCGAACCTTTTTTTTTCAGCTTTGTGTGTATGTGTGAGCGCCCGTCCTTAACGACTTAATCCTCATTTAAAAAGACTGCTATACAAAAGACTAATTTCCAGGAACTTTCCAGGAATCATATCACGTGGTCACATGCGCGAGCGCTCTCTTAAGGTCGTGCCAAAGAGCTGTTTTGTTGTTGTTTGCTTGTTTGTTTATATTTATTATTGTGTGTATCTGGCAACCACGATGTTTTTATTCACAAATACACGCTGCATGAAACTTCTTTTGTTTAGATTTTTTAATATGTTGATTACAATTCTGAGTACGAATATCTATATACGAATATTTTATTTCATTTTATTTTAGATCTGTTACTGGAATTTTTTTTTAACAAATGCATATCACAAATGCAAAACAAAGACCATATTAAAACGTTCAGTAAAGCACAAATATATTTCATTGTTTATTCTGTCTTTCAGTATAGAACAGGCCTAAATGTATTTGCTACAGAATATTGTCTTTTTACGTTAAAAATAACTGCATTTTCAAAACAATGCAATAAAAAGAAATATACAAATTTAGATGTTCGTGATCTATGTTACAGGTCAGAGCCTGTGCTATTCTTATGAGCAACAGTAACAGTGTGACAAGTGCTACCTTAAACCAGTCATAGTGCCTGGGTTTATGACAGAACACGCATTAAGATATGATTTAAACTGTGTGGAAAACCCTTTAAAACATAACACAAACATCAGGATAGATAGATAGATAGATGTTGCTTTAATGGCAGTCAATTATATAAATTAATACTTTTCCCCCATTTAATTTATTGTTATTGCTGTGTATAATAACAGAGGAATGTGTCAAAAATTTCAACAACATTGATTTGAATGTCCACAAGAACTATGATTATTTTATTAAGCAACATTCTCTTTTTTTCAATAGTATTGCAAACATTTATAAGCAATAAGCAAGAAGTTAATGAGTTTAGTCATACATTTTAAAATAAGTTCCTATTCTATTTTGACAGCTAAAGAGGCACAGCAGAACTATTGTGCCTTTCTTAAAAACATACAGCACAAAGAATAATCTTAAATGTTAGAAATTCCAATGAGCTCAGCTCATTTTTATATAAGACATTCCTTAGATAGATAGATAGATAGATAGATAGATAGATAGATAGATAGATAGATAGATAGATAGATAGATAGATAGATAGATAGATAGATAGATAGATAGATAGATAGATAGATAGATAGATAGATAGATAGATAGATAGATAGATAGATAGATAGATAGATAGATAGATAGATAGATAGATAGATAGATGTTCATACAGATACACACAGAGCTACAGTAGACCCTGTACGTACAGTAGATACGTAATACACAGTTTTAAATTCATTACGTAATGAGAGTCTATAAATAATCCTGGCAAATGCTTCCCACATGTGTAACAAGCATGAAAATCCCTGTATAAAGACAAGTGTGGATTAGCACAGCGCTCAGCTGACTGCAGGACTGATGCCTTAGATGACCTTACTCGGGCTACTGAAGACTGTTTGTTTGCTTGTCAGTTATAGGCACAGGCTCATGTTGTTATGCTTATAAACTAATTAATTGCTCTTTTAAGATGAATCTTGTCTTCAATAGATGCAATCAGTAATTGGGAAGAAGGTATTGGAAAGCCAGTCTCTGAAGACACACGTGTCCTTAACCAGATTCATTCATCTTGTGTGTGTTTGTGCACAGGACTCGCTTAATTTAATTTACGTGCAGAGCATTTGTATGTCAAAGGTCAAATTAGCCCAAATCTAACCTGGAACTGACCCCATGTGTAAAAGAGGACTGTGTTAACTTCTCATCTCTATTTAAGGTCATCTGTATTTAAGATTCTTAAGAGTTATTCCAAGACAGATCCTCGATGGCATTATTTCAATTTGCCTCAGAAAAGCCATGGCCAGCATTAATGGAGAGCTCCACCTTTTATATATTTAGCATGCAGAAAAATCCTATTGAAGAGGAAGAAGGGACAGATCTAAGTACATTCAGTGGATCAGAGGTGGCGTGTCTTGCCTCCAACTTGAAATATGTGTTGGTTGTTTAATTTTCTATAAATATTACAACAATAACAATAGTAATAATAATAGTGCATGAGAGTGTGAATGTGAGTGTAATAAAGATAATAAAAAAGCATATATCCCTGATTAACTGTCACTAGATTCAATAGTACCTGGATACAGCCTTTATCATGCAGGCAGAGATTGCATCACTCAGTGAGATTTAGATGCAGCTCAGATTGCACTGCACCAGGTCTGCATCCAGACCACTCTCACTAGATTCAGGCTGTGTAAATCAGGGACTAAGCCACAGGAAAGTAAGTTGTTATTGTTATTTATTAATTAATTAATTAATTCATTCATTCATTCATTCATTTTCCTTCAGCATAGTCCCTTTAATCATCAGGGGTCGCTACAGCGGAATGAACCACCAACTTATCCAGCACATGTTTTACACAGCGGATGCCCTTCTAGTTGCAATTTAGGCTAATTTAGATAATCCAATTCACCTATAGCGTATGTCTTTGGACTGTGGGGCAAACTGGAGCAACCCACGCAAACAGGGGGAGAACATGCAAACTCCACATAAATGACAACTGATCCAGCCGGGACAAGAACCAGCGAACTTCTTGCTGTGAGGCGACAGTGCTAACCACTGAGCCACCGTGACGCCTTATTACTATTAATATTATTATTGTTGTTGTTGTTGTTATTATTATTTTATATCTATTAATTTATGTATTTATAGTGTAGGATGCAAATAAATGTACAAGTGTGTATGTGTGTATCCTTTTTTTCAATTGACAGTGGTCAACATGTCAACAAAACATTTGCCTTTTTTAAGTAGTTTGCTTATCACTTCTTATTTCTTGTGTTTTTTTTTTATCAGTCACTTCATTATTTAAGCCTGTACCCAGCCTGGTTAAAAGGGTGGTTCTTTTTTCTTTCTTTTTGCAGTTATTTGCCTTATGTTCTGTTTAATTATAAGGTCAAAATACAGCATTTTTTGTCACATTTTAAGCACCATTTTTAGTTGGATTAGCTTGTCAGGTAGTCATCATAACCACTCTTTTTAAGGTACCAAAAACATTTGCTAAATATTTAGAATAAAAAATATGAAAAAAATGCTTATTTGTAAAAACAAATGTATTGCATCGTGTACAGAATTATTAGAAAAAAGGAGTTAAAGTTACAGGTTTAAAGAAACAAAAATCAAAACTGTGGCCTATTGTCATTTATTAGGCAAACAACAAACTGGCCAGCACATTCAACTTTCCTCAGTCAGTATTTGGCCTTCTGAATAATAAAAAAATTAAAGTCTCTTTTCTCTTTTGTAAAAAAAAGTACAGTTTGTACATTCATGGGTAACAAATATGGCCTAATTAGTATAAAAATGAACTTTAACATGGGTCACATTTGGTCCTTCATGCCTTTTTATTGGTATTTTGTTTTTCTTTCAAGAATAAGGTCCAAGATTCAAGCTGGGCTACTTAGTAAAAATTTACTTTAGTCATAGTGTATGTTTTCTTGCATAGCTGCATTTTGGATTATAATAATTGTTTGGACTCATTGGAAGCCTTATTTTTACAATTTATGATGGCATAGCAGTCAAAATAAGACAAATGAGCTCATGTATTGGGGCCAATTCTTTCAAACTACCTCAAAGACAAACAAATTAAAAACCATTTTAAGGTCAAAATTATTAGCCTCTTTAAGCTAGGTTTTTCCCGATAGACTACAGAACAAACCATCGTTATACAATAACTTGCCTTATTACCCTAACCTGCCTAGTTAACCTAATTAACCTAGTTAAGCCTTTAAATGTCACTTTAAGCTGTATAGAAGTGCCTTGAGAAAAATCTAGTCAAATATTATTTACTGTCATCATGACAAAGATAAAAGAAATCAGTCATTAGAAATGAGTTATTAAAACTGTTATGTTCAGAAATGTGTTGGAATTTTTTTTATATCCATTAAATAGAAATGGGGGGAAAAAATAAACAGGGGCGTTATTAATTCTGACTTAACCTGTATGTATGTATGTATGTATGTATGTGTATTATTTAATTATAGACTGTATATGTATGTAGATGCAGTTTTTCAACTTAAAATTAAAGGATTTTATTAAAAATTAATTAATATTATACCACTATTACTATTGATATTATAATTATTTAATTATATTATTGAAATTGAATAAAAATAAATAATATAAATGAAGTCATAAATAAGGCGATGCAGTGGTGCATTAGGTAGAGCTGTCGCCTCACAGCAAGAAGGTCGCTGGTTCGAGCCTCAACTGGGTCAGTTGACATTTCTGTGTGGAGTTTGCATGTTCTCCTGGCGTTTGCGTGGATTCCCTCCGGGTGCTTCAGTTTCCCCATCAAGTCCTAAAACTTGCGGTACAGGTGAATTGGGTAGGCTAAATTGTTCGTAGTGCCTGAGTGCGAATGGGTGTATATGTTTCCCAGAGATGGGTTGCGGCTGGAAGGGCATCCCCTGTGTAAAAACTTGCTGGATAAGTTGGCGGTTCATTCCGCTGTGGCGACCCCAGATTAATAAAGGGACTAAGCTAAAAAAAAATGAATGAAAAAGTAATAAATAAATAACTCAAACCTATATAAAAATGTAATAGTTAATCAACAGGAAATGGTTGATGTGGTCTAAAGTACTGATTTGGTTTGAAAAAAAAGCTTCTATTCTTTTATAAAGAGGTTCTATGCAATCAAATTGATTTACTATAATTGTTCATTTTCTCTGGAGTTAATCTTATAACAAACAAAACGAATTATATCTGGCTGTGTTATAGCTACCTCTTCTGGTCACTGCAGATACTTACACTAGCCAATAAGACTTTTTTATACATATTTAAGCTACACTTTCATTAAATTGTCTGCTCATAGTTGTACAAAAAATGTCTTTGATGTAAGATAAACGTAATATATAATACGTTTTTTATCATTAGTTAAAAATGGCCTGTAAGTTATAGTGGACACAGACGATACACCTCCAAATCAATAGGGGGCGGCAGTTTTGCAGAAGTCTTGTCTGACGTCACGCACGCGGCAAAAACAAAAATGACGTACCCGCGGTATTTCCCTTAAATTTAGATTTTGATACTTTGCCTAATTTTATAGTATAAACTCTATATTTTTCGAAGTACGCACACAGAAGATCATTTCTAGCCAAGAGCCATTGCTTGTCCGCTTGTTAAAGGTGAGCATATTGATATTATTATCGCCTTGCTGGATCTTCAGTTATGTTACATTTCACTCTTACTAATGTGTAAAATACTGGAATTCAGTATAGCTTATAGTTTAACACAGATTCTGAATTGTTATCTTGAAATGCGTATTTTTATGTTCACATAATACAGATCGCTTTATTATGCGTGCGCATGTGTTTATAAGACAGTTAGCATTTAACGTTAGTGTTTAACGTTACACTTACTGTGATTCAGTAAATCGACATGGGTTCTTTCGATGTAAACAGATTTAAAATATGTCATTATTTGCTCTCTCTTCACGTGTTCCAAACTCGTTGAGTTTCTTTCTTCTGTTAAACACAAAAGAAGACGTTTTAAAGAAAGCTGGAAACCTGTAAATATTAACAACTATTAAACGTCAATTGACTTTTACAGTATTTGTGTTTCCTACTCTGGAAGTCAATGGTTACAGGGTTTCAGCGTTCAAAATCTTCATTTGTGTTCAGCAAAAGAAAGAAAATCATCAAGGTTTGTATACATGAATACTTGTTCATTTTTTTGGCAAACCATGCTTTTAATCATACTTTACTACTTATAAAGCAAATACATACAGTTGTAATTAAAATTTGATTATTGTAAATCCACAATGCTTTTTTCTAATCATAATTAAACCATGGTACTTGCAGCAAAATTATGGTTATACAAATGATAAGCCAAATTCCAAAAGTACCATGGTTATTACATTTTTACTATAATAAAACTTGTATTATTACAGCAGTCTAAAATCACACATTTTGTTAGATGTTAGTCACTTATGATTAAGTTTTATATACTTTAATTGAAAATGTCTGGTAAAAAATGTGTATTTCAGCGTATTTTGAAAGTACTTGGTCATGGACTCTGTGGAGACAAGATATGCCCATTTACTGCAACCCTTGCGGGACCTCACCAAGAACTGGGACATAGACTTGGCCAGCCAGCTTGGAGAATATCTCGAGGAGGTGAGAAAACATACAGTCTGATTGAGAATTACCTTAATGTTTTGAATGTGCAGATTTTCATATTATTGCTGTTGTTTTTGTTGTTGACAGCTGGACCAGATGACTATTTCATTTGATGGTGGAAAGACCATGATGAACTTTGCAGAGGCTGCACTTTTGATTCAAGGATCAACATGCATCTATGGCAGAAAGGTACAATGTTTGATCAATCAAAAGAGAAATGTACTAGAATTTCACATTTTCCAATTGTGATCATGTTATTAACAGGGAACCATTTCATTTTGCACATTTTAATCCTCAATATGTTTCAGAATCACATTTCTAAACAAATGCAACATGTTAACACGTGTAATTCATTTATTTTTATTTAATTTATTTATTTTTCTGTAGGTTCAATAAAATAAATAATAAAATAACACAAAATACAGTATTGCAATTTTAAGTGTTTTTGTTTATGTATGCAGTCAATGTGTTTCATAATCAAATGTGATTTTAAAATTGTTTGTAAAACTTAAATAAATCTGTCCCAAGATTAATGGTGAAATTTGCTGTGAACATTTAGGTGGAGCTCCTTCACACTCTGGTGTTCCAAACATTGGACTACATCTCTAATAAAAACAAAAAGTAGGTGATTGAAAAAAAAAAGATAATAATAATAATAATAATAATAATAATAATAATTGACCTCCAGTTTCTGTTTATTCTTTATGTGTAATGTTGCTTGTTTTTTCCTAACAGACGTGATAAACAAGGTTCTTCATCAGATGGAAACCAAGAACAAGCTCCTTCGGGAAGCGAAGGCGATGGTTGTGAGGTGTGTAAATGATCAACATTTGATAACTTTAAATATGTGGTTATATTGTGAGTAATTGTGTGTTTTTGTGCAGTTTGATGAGATTGAGCAGGATGAGAATGTCAACACTCACAATATTACAATGAAAGATCCAACAGAGGTAAGCATGGTTATATTGCTTTCTAGAACCTGTGTTTGTGTCCAGAAGCTTTGTCTGAATCTGTTCATGCTTGTAGTTTGGTTTATTTGGTTGATTTGTTTTGGGGGAAAAAGATAAAGAAAATGTAATATGTGAATTTTTTTTTTGTAGTCTTGGTTGGTTTAGGATGTATGCTGTCCTTTAGGATTCAGACTGAAAATGTTTTTATAATTTCTATTTTGTAAAAGAATTAAACAATATAATGTTGTTGCAAACCTCAAAGTTCAGATGGCAATATTCACATTTATTCAAATAAACTGCACTAACAAACAATCAAAACCGAGTTTGTTATAATCAAACCAAGTCTGCCTAGTATGAGTGAATTTTGACTGGACATAGTATTCTTTTTACTAGTGATTATATGCTCTTGATATAAAGCAATACCAGCAATTGTTTAGTATTCTCTGCACAGCAAATGGTTGTTTTGCGAAAACCTTTTATAAGAATTCAGGAAAGTTTTGATATATTTGTTTTTGTGGTACTAATTCTTTTTCACTCATTTGTTTTTAGCCAGTGAGAATTATCCGTCTTCCTCCTGAATCTCTCATTCCTGCTGAATCACACGAGAAGCAAAAATACCCCCTTCTAAGGTAAAGTCACTGTCATGTAGAGACAAATGAAAATGATGCATACATTTACACTGTAAAACAGCAAATAGGAGAATGTAAAGAATCTTCCATTGGGTTCACACCTGTAGATTAGTTGTCAGGGTTCTTTAGTCCAGACCAAAAAGGAGAATAATGAATGTGTGACGCTGGACAGAAAAAACAGTGATAAGTGTCAATTTGAGATCACATGAAAGCAGAATAAATAAGCTTCTGATGTATAGTCTGTTAGGATAGGACAGTATTTGGTTGGAGATACAACTATTTCATTGTCTGGAATATCAGTGTTTAAAAAAATCTTAATATTGAGAAAATCACCTTTTCAATACATTTAAAGTTCTTAGCAATGCACATGGCTAATTACAAATTAAGTTTTGATATATTTACAGTGAGAAATTGACCAAAAATATAATTGCAACACCATCTTTACCTAATATTCGAATGATCCTTGGCATACAATAAAAATCCACCTTTTTAACTCATGCTATGCATTTTTGGCTATTGGCACAATGAAACAAATGCAACATAAGACGTCACGTTTACCAGGGTCATGTTTACTCCTGTTTTGCTTGCATTCACACTCCCAATTAATTTACTAAACATCAAGAATATAGAAAATAGTTTATTATAATGTATCATTTTTCAACTGAACGTGCTCATTACATGTACGTACCTCTACATGTAATGGTATTTTTTATAAATTGAGAACACTTGAAAAGCTTAAATAGTGTAAAGGAGTTACACAAACAAGATCTGCTGTCAGGAGACTTATTTTCAACACTGGTATTGGGCAAAATAGCTCCTACGATGAGTGAAATATCAGATGTTTTTGTTTTATTTAAATGCCTTTGTGGTGCATTCGCTTTAATCAATTTGCACTAAGCTAATTTGGTTGGAGACCAAGAGCCATCTTCCAAACAGTCTACTTGTTTTATACACACCAAGATTTATATGCCAGCATTCAAACTTATTTAAATTGATCACACTAACAGAGCAATCAGAGTTCATTTTAATTGAACTAACCTAAAAGTGTGAACACTCTTAAATGTGCATACTTAAAAAGCTAAAATATTTCACCAAAATGTTTGTTTACTGTTATTTTGTAGTCTTAAAGGGGAGCTTCTTGGCAGCTGTAAGGATTTCCGCATTAATACTTTCACCATGGATGAAGCAGGATTGATGCGTCTGGGCTCCAACACTCACTTCCTTAAAGGTGTTGCAGAAGTCCAACGCGACTTCTCTGTTCATTTACCTGAACCCCTTCAGATCGGTGAGGATACAGACATCTTGATAATACATTATATTTGAACCTGTAGCAATATTCCACAGCATCACTGATCTTACCATATTTTTAGTCAAACAAATGCAGCTTTGCAAAGAATAAGTCTTTTTTTTATAACAACAGTGCACCGAAACCATTTTCAAAACATATTTCTTTTTTGTCAAACTGCCATGCGGTGATCAGAAGGTGAAGCAGCTGCGGCTAATGGTGGATATGATGAAGAAGTTGATGGTGGGGCAGAGGTTCTTCCTCCACTAGAGGATCATGGGATGGAGGTGGAGTCTGATGAGTGGGTGGAAAGGCACGAGGTACCCAACAGTTTGCATTGGTTTAATCTTTGACATTCAGTGAAAGATCTGTTGAATGTAATTCTAAAGTTTCCTCTTTTTAATTGTTCCAGGCCCCCAGTGAAGGGAGGATGTTGAGACCCAGACCTGCAGTACAGCCAGTCTCAGAGGAACCCAAGCAGCTTAAGGTATAGATTGGTGCATTGAGATGAAATAGCAACTGTGGCAACGTTTCTTCACACTTAAAAAGAGGGTTCACCAAAAATAAAAATGAGAAATGAAGATATACTTAAAATTCCTGGAAAATACAGCTATTGACTTCCATAGTGTTTGTTTTACTATGGATTTCAATGGCAGTTTTTTCCAACATTCTGGAAAAAATGGTAATTTAAAATCACTTGAATCTGAGTAAATGGTGACTTTTTTTTGTTTTGGTGAACTATCCTTCCAAATTTTCAATTTCCTTTGTAGTGTTTGTTAAATATCCCATAAGTTTTTGATGCATATTGTTTAGTCATTCTGTATTGCTTATTGCATTATCACATCCAGATCCTGATTAATATAAATAATTGACAATGACTACATATATTCCAGGAAACAGTAGATCCATGGAAGTTGCATGACCCATACGCTACATTTGGGGAGGACAAGCCTCTCAAAGCAGGTGTGTGTTTATCTGAATAATTCTCAATATGTTGAAAGGTAATTGATCCGTTATGGTGACTTGACATTATTATTACTTTTTTTTTTTTTGCTCGACTCTCTAGGAAAGTGCTATAAAGTGCCAGCAGGCCTTGATGAGTCTGGGAAGAGGAAAAGAAAGGGGCCTTCAAAACTGCAGGACTTTGGGACCTGGTTCAATAAAGCCTGTAAGCTGACTTTAATCAGGCTGTTATTTAAAAAGGGAGACATTTGTAAATCTTAAAACTTTTATTTTCTTTTGCAGTTGAGACTGCAGATCGCAAGCTCAAGAATGGACCTACTTTTCCTGGTAAGAATTTTAAAAACATTATGCCATAAAAAAATATTTTCTGCAAGATAAAATGGTAATTGATGATGTTTTCACTTATTTGCAGACCTTAATTACATATTTGTGAGCAAAATGGATCAGCGTTTGAAAGTACAAAGGCAGATGCTCAGGAAAAGGGTAAGTACAAGTTTGTGACTGTAAAGTGGATTTTCTTGAGACCAGAATTACATTTTTTTTTCATGAAAGATATATTTTATTAATCTAAGATATGATAAAATAAACGGAAATGATGCGTTATTGTTGTTGATCTCTTTTTAAAATATCCACTACAAATAAAATGCTGTTCTTTTGATTTATCTAAGATACCTGAAAAAATTATCAGTCATTGTTTTCATAATTTCATCAAATGTTTCACTGCATCAGCATATTAGGATGATTTACATAAATAAGTGGCTTTTATAAATATATTACTACAAAAAGTTATTTTTGTATAATGTTACAAATTAAATAAAAAATCCTTAAACAAAAAGAGGTTTAACAAAAACGTAACAAATAACAGGGATTAAAAATATAACCCCTGGTGCCCCGCTCTCTCTCTCCCCAAAATATGAACCAAAAACGCAACCACAGAGAATTAACAAGAAAATATGATTTATTTACAGAAATAAGGAGCAAAAATAACATCAGGAGGGGTTTAGCCAAAATAAATTACAATAAACCCAGCTAACTAAATTAGATCAAACTTCCCTAAAAATTAGATAATAAAATGAAACACAGAAAACTTACCTCCCTACTAACAAACACAGGAGGAAAGGAAAATGAGAAAAAAAACAAACCTCCCTACCATGCTCCTAGCCAGACAGGGAGACAGAAAACCGGCTTTCTCAAGTTAGAATTAACACATCGGCATCTCACAAAACGCCACAAAAGAGACATAAGCAACAAACACTCATTTGATCACTTGAGCCTTATCTCTACCAAGCATAAGTGGGGAATCAAGAGAGAGCAGGGAGCCATCAAATCCATGCTCTCTGCAGGTTTATATACAGCCGCCGCCAATCCAAGCGCCAATCATGATCCGACCCAGCGTAATCCACTGCACCTGCAAATACTGCAAATGAAAGTGAGAGAGAGAAAGAGAAAGAGGGAAAGAAACACCACACACACAAGCCTACACTACACTACTCGTAACAATAATGTTATAATATAATGTAATAATCTGTTTTATATATTTGTCTGCATGAAATAAATAAAAATATAATCTTGCCAACTCATCCAACCCCAGATTTGAACAGTTTTCTGTCTGTGACATCATGTGACTCAAGTGATTTTTTTATTTTAGGGTGTTTTTGTCTCTGATGAAGAGTTAAAGAAAACTTACTTGGAGCCAGAGAATGTGGAGGACCAGGTCGAGGTGATCCGGCATCCAGACGCAGATGGTGAGATGGTCATGCAAAAATATTCAAATCCTAGATTTTTCTTTTTCCCCTTCACTGTTATTTATTTCAAACACACCTTAGATCTGTTTTATACAATGCACCAAACGCTTTTACACTTTTTCTTAAGGAGACGACTATTCAGATGAGGAACATGATAACTTAGCTGATGATCTTGAACCTGCGGAGCACCTCGATGACCAGGAGCAGATTTTCCAGGACTTGCACATGAGCCGAATGAGTTATGAAGATCTGGTTAAGAAGAGTGTGGTATGAGAGCTTACCACTCAATTACACTAGAAAAATGTCATGATTTGGACAGTGCAAGTTTATTCACTGTGATTCCTCTCTATGTAGGATCTGTTTCTGGTGAACTCTCAGAAGTATGCTCAAGAGACGGCGCTGTCTCGAAGAGTCAAGGACTGGGAGGACAGCATTAACCCTCATCTTGCTGCTCAGGTAATAATGTGGCACGATGAGGCAACGATAAGCACACTTTAGCTCTATTAAGGGAGTCTGATTTGTTATATTTTTGCCTGCACAGGAGATTAGTCCAGCTTTTGACATCCATGAGTATGGAGACAGAATTGTCCACGCGCTCTCTAATGTTGGGGTGAAAAAATCATTTGCTTTTGTCGTGAGAGGAAAGGAGAACACCGAAGCCTGCAGATACATGCTGGCAGCTCTTCAGCTGGTAAGTACACAGGGAAATGACTGCTGGGGTCCGTTTTTTTATACTTCACTTAAAGGATTTAGGATGATTTGACGGATCCTGGATCTTTTATTCTTGATAACTGATCTCTGGCTAATTTGGTTCTTCAAACAAGTTCAGTGAATCAGATTAAAATGTCTGGATGAACTGATCTGAGCTCGCTGCGTGTGTTGTGAAGGACAGATCTATCAATCCTCCAAATTATGATCAGCAATGCAGTGACTGGCTGATGGCACAGCAGCACAATGACATCATCTAATTAATATTCAATTATCCATGTGAGCAAAGTTCTATCAAATTTGTAGTAAATGGTATGTTTCACATGATATGCAATAGCTTTCTACCTCTGTTGTGGGCTGCAGGCTTTACACTTTCATCTGTCAAGATTATTTAACAATTTATTTAGTTGTACTTTTGGAGCGGGTTTTCTTTTATAATCGGCATGTTTAAGTTTCTTAATAAATGGCTGCTTAAATTAAGTAAATTTTGCATGAAGAAAGCATTTTGATATTGGTAAAGGTGTCTGCAACTTTTGCGAAGCATCAAATTACTGGCATATAAGATCTCAAAATGTGTGCCTGACTGAATAAAATATTATTCCTTTCCTTTAAACATTATAATAAAATTATTAGTACAAATTGTACTAAAGCTTGGTCGGTAGTCGGTACCTTAAAATAATATGCGTTTGTATCTAAAAAGTCCATATTAATAAATGTTCTCTTTGAACCCCTTGGGGAGAATGACCCTGTGTCAGTTTTTGTACTTTTATTTAATAGTGTATATTGCATAACAGTTTTATTTATATTTTTTAAAAACTATTTGACTATTTTCCTCAGTGTATTTAATCTGTAGGTTACTGCTGTAAGAAAATATCAGCATTCAGTACATACTTTCAGTATTACCTTTGCTTGAAATGACCCTATCTAATCCTGTTTATATGAAATGAGTCTGCTTTTGAGCAGGCTTGAGTTTGGATGAACTAAACGATCCTGGATCATGTCAAATTGTAAATAACCAAGTCCAGCTAATTGAGTAATCCACGTACAAAAGAACGGACCCCTGATACTGTTAACTTGAGTCTGATGCTGCATCCGAAATCTCATTCTTGCCTACTATATAGTACGTTAATAACATTATGTGAGCTGATTATTCAATTCAATAAGTTTATTTGTATAGCACTTTTCACAATAATTATTGTTTCAAAGCAGTTTTACAGAAGGTGCGTATAAATTTCGGAAAATTAAGGTTACCATAACTTTAATAGTTACTAATAACTTTTACTAATTAATTATTAACTAATAGCTTTTAACAGTTAGTTATAATATACAAGCATAGTTAACCTGCAGTTATATAGTATATAGGTAATATCTATATGTACATGTTATCTATAGTATGCCCAAATTTATATTATTCGCAAAATGGTATACGAGAAGTACCCGGATGACCTTTTACTCCTGATCAGATTCTGAAGTTTGCATCCAATGGAAGCTTTGCTATTCCGTGATGCTATTCAAGAGAATTCATGAATGAAGTGAAGGGACACAACTGATGCAGGTAGGTCACATGATAATGGCAGATTTAGTATGTTCAAATTCCTTTCCTACTTTAAAGAATGTATTTTTCTAACAGTCGTGTAGTAAATTCAAATTCAAATGTAATTCCTACTTGAGTACTTTCGGACGCAGCCTGTGTGTTTTCTTATGTATCGCCAGTTAGGTTGTTTTGGCCTTTCTGTGGAACATGTGATGAGATTTGTGTAGTCATGTGCACTGGTCAAACATTTGGGGTCAGAGTTTTATCTATCTGTCTGTCTGTCTGGCTGTCTGTCTGTCTGGCTGTCTGTCTGTCTGTTTGACCGGGTCATTTTTTTACTTTTACATTTTTATTGTATTTTTTTTAAATGTTATATACACTCTTCACTTTATCCTTGATGAATTAAAGTAAAATTAATTTCTAAGGGTAATTTTTGAATAGTACTGTATCATAGTTTCTACAAAAAAACATGGCCAACTGTTTTCAACTCTGATAATAGTATGAATAATATATATATATATATATATATATATATATATATATATATATTAGCTGCAGATCACCATGTAAGAATGATTTCTGTAGGGTCATGTGACACTAATAATAATAATGACACTGAAAATTCTGCTTTAAATTAATTACTTACTAAAACTATTTTTATTAAGAAAACTATTTTAAAAACATACAAAAAAATTACTGATCCCAAAACTTTTTAAGCTGAAATATTATCTTTGAAAACAAAACAAATACAGTTTATGATCTGATGCTGTGCTTTTTGTTACAGGCCAACGATTATACAGTGGAGGTTGACAAAGTGGACGGTCTTGACTGCAGCGTGGACACAATGGAGCTCACTTTATTGACTACTCAGAGGGCTCACGAACGTCTCAAAACCTACAACGCAACCGCTGCTACAGATATTCCCTGAGCTTTTACTTGTTGTGCTTATCATGTCTTACCTTTGGAACAGAAGCTATTTATCATATATTTACAGATAAAAAGGCTTTGTGATTCTCTATCCTACAGCTTTTAGGTCATTCAGACTCATGTTCTGATTTCCAGCTTTGCACTTGCTTTTGAATTTGATGTTTTAACTTGCTGGATTGAATGCTGAAATGAAGAAATGACAGGTGTCTTCATACATTTTAATATCCAAACATCAAATTTCATGAGGAAAGTCTGTTAAATTGTTAAAACGGTCTGTTTCTATTCACTTTCTGAGATGTTCAAATTTCAACCTATTTACATTCAGTAAACTGCATGTCTGTACAGTCTCCTAAGCCTTTTTTATCAATTGTAGAAGATTCACACGTTAAATAAAAGAAAAACTGAAAGTGCTGCACAAAAATGTCTTATTGTGTCTGTTTGTGTTTGTGAAAGATCCAAGTGAACAGAAGATGTACTGGTATTGTTGAGATGTCTTTGTATTTTTGTGTTATAATTTGGATAAATAAAAATATGTTTAGTTTTAAATTGTGCCTGGGCGATACGACAAAAAATACAATCTCAATAATTATTTTCCTAATTGAACGATAATATATATATTTGATATAAGTTGTTCATGCTTCCTGGTTTAAAAGAGTACCCCAACAATGAGTGAAGCCACACAAATTAGAGCGCTCATTAAATGGCATAACATATTTTGGCAGCTGAAAATTTCGGTACATCTCTAATATCAACACACTTTTAGATTCGCATTGTTGCACATTTCTGTTGTGTGATTGGCTCTAAGATCAATATAGAGTGAAAATGTCAAGAGCTTATCATTGTTATTGACACAAATTTTATTGCGATTCATATTTCTATATAATATAGTTTATCGGCCGGGCCCCATTTTAAATGACTGCCTTTATATGAAACCTGAATTTATTTCAAAATCCCCAATGTTTTAATGATCGGGTTATCTAAAGAGTTATTTTAAGTACCTGAAGTACTTTGTTTAGTCAAATTTGGTCAAAAAACAATTAAAATATGAAATCAACTGTAAAAATAATCTGTAGATAGAAATACTGAATCAATAATCGATTAAAAACATTATCATAATTATAATATAGTGTTATAATAGTAGAAATCTATTACAACCCCTTTATTTACTATTGTAAGTATTGAATGTAATATTATGTATATTTTGTCTAATATTTTCATTTGTTTTTATTTCAGTAATTCAGTATTAAAGGGGGTTTGTTGCCTCCATAATTACCTGAAATGTGTTATTTTAGTGTCTTTTATATATAATAATATTAAATGTATTAACTTTTATGTAATATAATAAAAAAAAGTTTCATTTTAGTATGTCAATCTGAAAAAAGGCACAAGTCATTTTTATAATTTTATTATTAATAAATATAATTCATTCATTTTCCTTCTACTTAGTCCTTTTATTAATCGGGTCGCCACGAAATGAACCGACAATTTGTCCAGCATATGTTTTACACAGCGGATGCTCTTCCAGCTGCAACCCAGTACTGGGAAACATCCATACACACCCATTCACATACATACACTATGAACAATTTAGTTTATTCAATTCACCCCGCATCTCTAACTGTGGAGGAAACCGGAGCACCTGGAGGAAACCACACAAACATGAGAACATGCAAACTCCACACTGAAATGCCAACTGACCCAGATGGGGCTTAAACCAGTGACCTCGGAAGGTGAAGTACTAACCACTGAGCCACCATGTCACCTAAAAATAGAATTAATAATAATAATTACATGTACATTTCAGCTTTATTTAGATTACAAACTAAAAATTTTCAACAATTTATACCCCATATTAGCATAATGCACACAAAGACTCAGCTCATCATCATTTCAAAATTTACCTTTATTTACACTCACAACTCGTCTCGCTCAGATTAATCAGGAAACAATCTAACAAAGGTCTTCATGTGATTGCGAATACTCTCAGCAATCTGGGTGTCATTTTTCATCCTATTGTAATAGTCGATAAACAGTCCATCCGGGTTGACCAGGTAGATGACTATGCTGTGATCCACAATATAGTCCCCATCCTCATCTTTGGGCCCATTACTGGCGTAAACCCTAAAATCCCGTCCCGCCTGCTTCACTTCCTCCGCGCTCCCGGTCAGTCCAACCAAACGGGGATGAAAATCTTTCACATACCTGGCCATAGCAGAAACATCATCTCTCTCTGGGTCAACAGTGATGAAAAGAGGCTGAACAGAAGGCAAGCTTGGGTCTTTATCCAAAATATGCACCACGCTGGTCAACTTCTCCAGCTCATCAGGACAGATATCAGGACAGTGGGTAAAACCGAAATATAACAGCACCCAGTGTCCTAGAAAGTCTCGTTTGGTTCTGCGCTGTCCCGTATGATCAAGCAAATGGAAATCTCCCTGTCCGAGAGCCACTTTTCGCAACTGCTCCAGTCTTTGCATCTGAATCCTCTTTTCTTTCTCCTGATGCACGTACCACCAAGTGCCAATGATGCCACCTCCAAAAAGCAGCGTCACCACCAAGCGTGTGCGCAGTTTGATGCCTGCGGACGAGCCTGGATTTGGAGTTTTAGGGGAGTTTTGAGAGTAAAAGGCTCTTTGTCGTGCACATAAATGTGGTGGAGCTGAAGATCTGCATGTGGTGTTTGGGATGTGATTTGAAATGTTGTTTCCCCTTATTGTTGACTGCAGGACGCTCCATAACCTCTTATGTCTGTCGAATACCCTCAGTCTTAACATCCTCTGGAAAAAACAACAAAGACAGAGATAGAGAAAGTGAAATGGGGCAAACAGTTCAGTGAATATACCTTGAATAAGTTGATTAAGAAGTGTAAAACTTGCAGGAAAAAAACAGGATTAGCACCTTTTATAGAAATGATATACTGGAAATATGATTAGTTAAGTGCAAATGCAGCAATGGAAGAAATTAAAAGACCACTTGAAAATTCTAAAAATTCAGTAATTAGTGTGTCTTTGCTAGTAAAATGTTATTAAGGTGCTATAAAGGACTAATATTATTTTTCTAATAGAAATTTGCATTAAATTAAATTTTTTAATAATTTAAATAATTAAACATACTGTTGTTTTGAGGCTATTAATTTGCAGAAAATTATAATTAGTCATGATAACAAATGCTGTCGTGCTGAGAGGATTATTACACCAAATGCTGATAGACAGACAGACAGACAGATAGATAGATAGATAGATAGATAGATAGATAGATAGATAGATAGATAGATAGATAGATAGATAGACATGTAATAAAAGTTATTTTATTGCAGTAAATTTCAGACTGTTTTATACTTACTACTCAGAAATAAATAATAGGGATTTTAATCTAACATTGAAACAAATGTTTCATAATGAAGTGTAAAGTAAATAGAATTTTATGGCGTGTCAATGACAATATTAGCAAGCTAGCTTTGCAAGAAAAAAAAGAGTTCAAATCACTATCCCTGATTCTAAAATATACTATCCCTCAAATGCTATGTTATATAAATAAAATCATAGTTACATTGCGCATAAATGTCACTAACCTTGGGATTTCACTCGCCTGTCCTCAATGCAGGATGTAAACTCGATCTTCACATGTTACATGTACAACAGTGAGGCTGCGGAACACTTGCGATTCGTGTTAGCAGATTCCGTTACAGCTTAAATCGGCTTAAATGCACATGGTGTAGAATTATTATTTGTTCTTCATTTAAAAATTCCAAATAAATATTTCATATGTTCTAATTATATGCTACATAATGTGTATTTATGTATTAATTTGTTTATTTTATTCATTATTCATTAAACTAGATTCGTCATTTTTTATCTAATGGCGAATGATAGATATATGATGTCGAATAACCACTAGATGGCAGACTGTAAAAATATAAATATTCAAATTATTTGAAAGGTTTTATTTATTCACTTGTGGGAAAATGTTTTCGAAATTGCATTTCAAGTAAATTGTTAACGTCCAACACCCAAGAAAATCAATCTAAATTAATCCGGACATGACTTGACAAAAGCCCTGGTGAGGTATTTTTACGAATCAACTGTTGTAAATATTCAGGTTAAACTTAAAAGATTACATTATTATCGTACAATTTAATTAAATGTATCTATATATTATTATCTTTTAATTAACTTAATAGATTTAGACAGAAGATTGCAATCATCAGGACACACGCACGCGCCTGCTCGTGCTATGCCCAGACTGACTTGGGAGGGCTCAACATTACCATAACAACAGACTCAAACACATTACCAGCTCGCGCGCGTATGCTGAAACATGGAACCCGCACCAGCGTCCTACTACGGTCCCCTGGATAAACACAACCCTGTCCTCTCAGCTTTTCAAAGCGAATTAAAAGAGTTTAAAGCGCTTATAAAGAAACTTTCCGGCCCGCAGAGCGACGACTATCGATCCTACTCTAGAGGGTAAGAGATAAAGTTAAACAACTAAAAATAAGGGACTACAACTCTAAACAAAGTCTATTTTTGTGGACTACTATTATTATTATTATCATTAACGTTACTAGGTTAGATATCTAACCTAATATTTAATCTAATATTTCTTAATCATTAATCAAGTTTATTTTAAAATTCAGGCCTAATATAAGGCTATAAAATCTACACAAAGTTGTATGTGTAAAGTTGTAAATTGTATTTTTTTAAGATAATAGCTAACGTTATCTGTTTCATTTATTATTATTATTGTTTGTGTACTAGTTCTGATGTTTTATACTCATTGATAAGTTAATTGGCTTCACCTTTTTCCTTTCAGGCTAATATTGAAGTTAGTCTGTAGATTTATATATAGTTTTTATTATCTATTTATGATATGATTTTTCAAGAGCAATTTACTCACATGTGATGTAAATTATTGTTAACTTACAGGTCTCTAAAATTGTTTGAAACATGGAACAAGTATAAATCTCGACTTCCTCAATCTTATTTTGAAGAGCACCTGTTACTAACGGCAGATTTCCTCCTTGACAATAAGGTAATTTAATCTCACTATAACTTTTTTTCAGTTTACTACCAATTCTACTTTTTAAATGTGTTATCCCGTTATCACCTCTTTGCACATAGATAAATGTTTTCTTTATAATTTTCTTCAAGTTTTACAGGCTTGCTCTCTGGCAGGGCTACAGGCTGTATCTGCAGCAGTTTTGCACAGAAAGCCTGGAAAACATACAAGATTTGGATCACCTCCAACGGTTCTTCTTCTCAGATGGCTTTGATTCAGAGAGAGCCATATTTACGGTTAGAGATCCTTGTTGAAATATATTCATTCATTTATTTTCTTTTAGGCTTAGTCCCTTTATTAATCAGTGGTTGCCACAGCGGAATGACCCACCAACTTATCCAGCATATCTTTTATTCAGCGGATGCCCTTCACAGCTGCAACCCAACTCTGGGAAACACCCATACACTCCCGCATTCACACACATACACTACGGCCAATTTATCTTATTAAATTCACCTTTAGTGCATGCCTTTGGACCAGGGGTCACCAGTCTCGGTCCTGGAGGGCCGGTGTCCCTGCAGGGTTTAGCTCCAACTTGCCTCAACACACCTGCCTGGGTGTTTCAAGTATACCTTTTAAGACCTTGATTAACTTGTTCGGGTGTGTTTGATTAGGGTTGGAGCTACAATTTGCAGGACACCAGCCCTCCAGGAACAAGTTTGGTGACCCCTGCTTTGGACTCTGGGGAAAACCGGAGCACCCGGAGGAAACCCATGCCAACTGGGCTCGAACCAGCGACCTTTTTTTCCTGTGAGGCAATCGTGCTACCCACTGCGCCACCGTGAAGCCCTGAAATATATTACACTGTTTTAAATATAATTTTTGTTTGATTTGTGATAATGGCTTTTATCTTTGTGTCTGTTAGTTTCGTGCTCTTCAGGGAGAATGTCAGTGCGTCTTCTATTTGGAGAAAGAAAAAGGCGCACCTCTGGGTGAGAGCGGGGTTCAAAAGCTGCTGAGAATCCTGGGTTTTCTGCGCATTCTGATGCAGGCTGTTCTGCCTGATGAAGCTTTATGCTGGATCCTGTACAATGGTATCTTTAGCAACACTTCTGTGTTCTGTAGTATATCACATTGACATTAAATGATGACTGACTTGTTTTCCGCTTTCCCACAGGCTCATTACACATATACAATATATCCAGATTTCTGATGTCAGCAGGCCACACCTCACAGGTTCTCAATAACAAGCCTTTGTTGATGTATTTTGGGGTCTTTTGTTTTTCTTTTGAAAGAAATTAATACTTTTATTCTCTACTGCACGCATTATGATAGATCTATAAAAAATATTTAACTGTTTTTCTTTTCTTAGTATTTCTTAACTTGAGGTGAAAATTTCTTTAAGGTACTTTATTAATTATGTGGTGCCATCTGGCAACAACGTCCAACAGTGGATATTACCTAACCCTAACCCTTACTTAGAAATTTCAAATTTAGAACTTTCCGAATAATTAATAATTGTATTGTTTGAAATTATTTAATTGGTATTGCAGTATTATAAGCTTTAACACCGAACTTATAAATGACATACTTTCCAACAACCGATATTTCAACAGCTTTCATTTATTTAATTTTTTCCCTGAATATTATTGAAAAAAGCATAAGATTGTATTATCATATATACAGCATACAGTAAATATAAAGATTTTCTCCAGTAAATGTTATAACAAATAAATAACAAGCCTAATATATCCAGATGCATCAGAAAAATGTAGCTCTTATCTAACAATTGTTATATATTGTACTATATACTATACTGAACTGTCACCATCACTGCTCTTATTAAATGTCCATTCTGCATCACTCTCATGATCACCAAAATCCATCTCATCCTCACTTTCTTCTGCAAGAAGAGCCAGTTCTGTCCATTTCTTCTTTCACTCACCATAGAACTTGGTGGTGCTCACTAATACTCTGTTCCCTGTATTTATTTCTAATCAATAGTATTGCCATAATTGTCCATAATTCAAATTCCATTAACATATGACTAATCAATATTATATTGCTAGCATTCATGTTGTTATTGTTACAACAAAGATCACAGATGACCCTGCTAGCTAGCTAAGCTATTGCACATTCCACTATTGCACAGTGTTGCCATTTGGCAACATGCATTTTATTTATTTACAAAAAACTAATATGATAAAAATGTTTTTTGAGTTGTGAATATGTCAGCATAACTTACTGGAGGTGATGTCTCAGATGTTTTGTGGATTTGTTTTCATTGACGTTTACATTTGCATTCAGCAACTACTCACAATAAACGCCAGTCTGTCAGAAATCGCACCGCAGAAAAACACTGCACGTCATGTGACATAACCAAAGCACATCATTGACTAAACTAAGGTCTTCTCTTTCCAACAAAAAATTGGAATGTTGGTCTTAAAGAAACAGTGACAGGGAAATGAACATTTGCAACTATATTAGAACACCATGCGGTGGAGGGTTAAAGGATGTGCTAAATGCATTGAAAGTGACAATACAATTATTTATATATGTTAAATAATTTCAATTTGAATTAATTGCTTCTTAAAAAGCGTGTATTCCTTAACATATCCTGACAAATGATTTCCACAAAACAGATAAACAGCACAACTATTTCCAGGATGTGTTTTGAGCACCAAATCATCATATTAGAATGATTTCTGAAGGATTGTATAACAACGAAGAGTGTGTAATGATGCTAAGAATGCAAGTTTACCAGAAAAAACAGGAAAAACAGGAATATGTTTAGTTTTAAAATTACATTTAAATAGAAAACAGATTTAAAAATAGTGTATTAGTGTATTATAAATAGCGGCTTTAGTGAGCATAGAAAACCTTTAAAATCTTTCTCAAAAAAAATTTCTTTACAGCTTTCTTTTTTAAAAAATCTCACTACATTAGGTTACCTTATTTTTACACATCAACTTTTGTAATGCAGCAAAATACTTATTATAAATACTAAAATTAAAAAAAAAAAAAAAAGATATTTCTGTAAATTACATCTCTTATTTATATTTCAGAAAACATACTTTTTGTTTATTTTATTTTAGTTTATTTGATTTTTTATTTCTTTTGTAACTTCAGGTTTTACAGTACTTATTATGGGCTTGCACATGCCTAGAGACCTCTGTTCCTCTTCTGACTGCTAAATTCCTGCCATGGAGAGCCACACTTTACTGTGCTGTGTGTGAATGCTATTTTCATGACCGTGCTTCAGTTCAGGCAGAGGTGAGTTTCTAAAATGTCTAAATATTCTTGCTAAATCATATTAGATTACATGTCTAATATATCATTCTGTGTTTTTTTACTTTCTGTTGTAAAAAAGGTGTTCGCACGCCGAGCTCTAAGCAAGATTAATGAACTGGCCAAGCTGGAGGAGATGACTGGCTCCGAAATGACACTTGAGACCCAGCAAGCTTATAAGGAGGCCACAATAAAAGTGTGATTTGTAACTTCAATTAAACATGCTGTTGTTTTTACGGTTCTTGTGTTATAACTATATATTTTCACGCTTGTCTTGAATCACTTTTATGCTCCATTAATGTTGAGAAGCTTGCAGTGATGGTGTTTAAGCGTTCAGTGTACGAGCCCCGAAGGAAACCCAAAGACCACTTTAGTCCCAAAAAGAAAAAGAATTTAAAACAGCTACAGCTTGTGAGTATTTACCTTAATATGGTGTACTGCAATGCATTTCCCCCCAATGCTACTCTAATATTGTCCTTCCCTCTATATTTGTTTATTATAGTCTCCATGGCCTCGCACACAAACTGAACGCATCCTAATGGAGATATTCGAGGGTAATGCTGCTCGGTTTTTGGCTGTTCTAGAGGCTCTACAAGACAAATCAGTCAGGCCTCTGCAGACTGGCTTGCCTGAGGAATTTGAGGTCCAGGTTGTGGTACTGGAGCTTGTTTCGGCTGGCATTAGCTTGTTGACTGGTAAACATTTTTTTGTGCTTTTTTTTTTGCTACTTAGTGTCACTTTTAGCATTTAAAAGCAAAATTTACAGATTTAAGCAGGTTAAAATGACATTGAATTCACATAAAAGCACAGATGGGTGTGGCAATTTATGCAGGTGACAATGTGCAAATTAAAGATCACATCAACTTATTTCCATAATGGGCAATCTACCGATAGATAAGCAAGTTAAAAATACTATGGCTTGATAATCTGTATGATTAGACTTCTTGTCTTCTGGCATTTTCTGTGCTGCAGCTTTCTTCCTAGCAGCAGCTGTCACAACGTGTAAAATGCAAAATGTGCTAGCTGTAGAAGATTTGTGAATTGTAAGTAGGCCCACACGGAATCTGCGCACAGAAATCCGCAGATTTCTGCATATTTTTAGCCTATCGTTGACTCTATGTATTAACTTGTGTAAATGTGTGCAAATTTATATTTATTCAGTTTTTAAATTCATTTCACTAATATTATTGTGATATAACAATAGTAATATAAAAATGTTCATATGATTTATTTACAATACAGTTTGTAAAGTAATATTTTCTGCCTTTTAGTAGAGATATTATATGAGAGACTTGCTTTGTTTACCAAATAAGTGGATCTACTTTTGATTTGCATTGTAAACATTAAATACAAGATTAAAAAAAAGTATTATTTTTTATTTCTTTTATTAAATTTTTAGTTATGATACTCCTAAAATTATTCTGCATAAATCCGCAGATTTTTTACAAACTTCTCAGCAGAAATAGCAAAAAAATGTCAGCAGATTCCGTCTGGCTCTAGTTATAAGCTTGTAATTGCTAATTATAAATTCAACTCTAAATTAACAAATGCAGATCTTTTTTTTTTTTCAAAATCGTGAGTGTAAATGTAAAATTCTGTGGAAGTAACAGTCAAGATTCTGAAACAAAAATGAAAAATTAAAATATACAAATGTCAAAAAAGCCTATTAACTTACAATTGTGAAATTCAAAATGTAAATTATGACCATTTTTCTCTTAGAATTTGTAATATTTTTTTATTTTTGAAGCGTATACTGTATCTAACCATTCTAATATTTGTTTAAAACAAAATTAAAAATTGTGAAAAATATGTCAACATTGTGAGAAAGGCTATGTATTTGTAATTTCCAGAAATTGTTGCAATTCTGGGGGTAAAAGGGTAATGTTGTCAGATGTAAACTCAGAATGGGAAGATTTTGATTTTTTACATTTTATTATTATCTCACTGTGACATTTGTTTTAGTATATATTTAAAAATTGTGAGATAAACATTGAAGAAATATATCTCTAAATACATTCTGACAGTAGTTTCTTAATGCAATATAAGGGTTTGTGCTTGTGCAAGTTGATAATAAAACTGACCCGAAATTTCTCTTATCTTGTAGGATTTGGTGATTCTGAGCACACTATTGAGGAGAGCATGCCTGCCTCTGTAAAAGCAGTCACTTCTGTTTCCTCTCTTTTTGAAGAGGCTGTCACTGGTGAGTATTGCATTTAATTTCCCTTTTATTCCTCGCCACTCTAATTTTTTATTGTGATATAAATTGCTCAGGGTCTCTCTTTTGTGTCTCTCAGGAACGAATAAGATTTCAGTAGATGCTGCAGTGAAGTTTGTGAAGCAGCTCTTCAGATATGAACAATGGAGCACATTCCGCTCCCTTTCCACTGCTCTTTTGTCTGTTTTACCTGTGAGTACATCTGTTACACTGCTTAAAAATTCAGCCTGAATCCTGTCTTAGTTCTCTTTTCTTGGCCTCTTCACAGAACATGGAGGGCCGCCCGATTCAGAAGTTTGAATTGGAACTCAGGCTTTTGGAAGCTGTGGAGCGTTTGATGGCCTCTCAGAGAGTTAAATTCATCATGAAAGATACTGATTTTGATGGTCAGCCTGGTACTAATCATTTGTCACATAGATTTGATAGATTAATTGAGGCAAATATTTAGAATAGTGTAAAAAAATATATAATTGTTTTTATGTACTGAATGTATGATTATTTTGAGTTTAAATCTTCTTTATATATGTATATATACTCAGAATAAATCTTCTCTTATGATTTTATTCCATTACAGACAAGAATATTGGGCCCGCCGTCATGACAGAAGAATTTTTTAGTCTAATTCAGAAACTTCATGATTGTGTGTGCAGAACAGACAAGGTCAGGTCTTTCTCTCACAATGTCTAAAGAGGTGTTGTTGGTAAACTGATGGTGTGCATGAACAATTTAAGACAAAATAATTATCCCTTATTGTGAAATGTTTATTATTTTTCAAATATTTCCCAGTGCATGGAAAGTTTTCATAGTATTTCCTTTTGTTTTTTGTTTTATTTGGCTGGAATAAACACACAAAAAATGCTATGTTCAATACTATTTGCCCCCTGGCTACAGAACAAACCACTGTTGTCCAATGACTTGCCTATTTAACCTAACTTGCCTAGGTAAACTAATTAGCCTAGTTAAGCCTTTGAATTGCACTGAAATACAAGTATCTTGCAAATTATCTAGTAAAATATGCACTGCTATTATGGCAATACAAAAGAATGTAGGTATTACAAATTAGTTATGAAACTATTATGTCAGAATACACTAATATTTATAAAATCTTCAGTCTATTTAACAGTCATTTGAAAAAGAATGAAAGTTTCACAGGAGGGCTAATACATTTTGTCTTTTGTGCAAGCAGGATATCCAGCCAGATACAGACTTGGTGCTGGATATTGTGCTGTTCTTTTGGGCGAAATGCAAATCTATTTTCCAGAGAGCACAGTTGAAGCATTATGAGCCTGTTCGCTACCGGGGTAGAATGGCAAACCAAGATCAGGTCAAAATTCAAAATAACAATGCATCTAGATATCATTCTTCTACTTTTTTTTTCTGAATCCAAAACATATGTTTTTGTTACGCTTTTGGTTCTGTAGTGGATAGAGACCTTGTTCTTGTTGTGTGAAGTGGCCCATGAGCACCCTGTGGCTGAAATGGACTTCATATTAATGGCTGAAATGACCTTGAGAATGGCAGTGGTGCTGGAAAGCAGTGCGGATGCTCCACCACAATCCGGGAGGAAAACAGGTACTGTGTATCACCAAAAAGTAGGATAATATACGTAACAGTGATAGTCAAAAATCATCTGACCTTGATTTTATAAATACTGTAAAGATGAGATGGGTGTATTAAATACTTTACTGTTTAAAAGTTTGTTTTATTTAGCAAAGCTGCAAGTAAATTCTAATTAAAACACAACAAACACAGGAAAAGTTATTTATAGAAATATTTTGCACTAGTATTGCTTAAAATGTTTTTAAAATGCAGCTTTTGTAAGCATGACAGAGGTCATGTCACTCATTTTTTTACCAATCTCAAACGTTTCATTTGTATTGCATTTTGCACTATTTATTTAGGTATTTTTTGGGTTTTTGTTTCTGTAGCCACTACTGAAGATAGCAGTGAAGAGTCTATCCCTGTTAGAAAATCTCCAAGCTCCATGTTTATGGTAAGTTGTCCTAGAAAATAAAAAACCTGTAATAGTTCATCATCACAATATTTTTCATTTAGATCAAACTAAACAAGTAAAATGACCTTAGTATCTAAGGGTCTCAATTTAAATCAGCAAAATTACTTACAGTTTTAGAAGATATATGAGTATCTTACCATAATAAAAATGTTTTAACATGTCTACAGAAGTCCAGAACTGAGCAGCTGCAGACTGCGTTGGATTTGGTGGAACGCTGTGTGGATTGTGTGTCTAGAGGCAGGGCCAGATCACTTTCTGGGCCTTCTGCTGTCTTTGATGAGGTGTTCATGCAGGCAGGTTCAAGATTGCAGTCCAAAATCATCAAAACATGTTAAAAGTTCACTTCAGCATTTCAACATAGAACACTAAATAATATATATATGTTTTTGGGTCGTTCAAACTGCTTATTTAAAATTTGCAGAAACAACATAATTCTTGAGATTTCATTGGGACAACTTTATTTTTTAATGTTCAATCCACATAAATTTGTTAAAAGTGTTTAGTTAACTTAATCAATTTGTGTTGGGACAACATGAATGAACTGTGTGGAACCCTGCATTTTTTACAGTGTAGCATTGATGAGTGAAGTGTATGGAAAAAAAAACAATCTACAGTATGGTGTATTATTACAGTTCACTGTATGAAATATATAGACATCAAACCACTGAAAGACAACATTAACAATACAAAATCTTTCAGTTAAGGGTGAAAATATTATGTACGTTCTCAACAGCATGGCATAAATATCATGTCGTTCAATACTGTAGCAAACAATGTGTGTGGCGCTCTATGACATGCTGGCGGGATTGTGATAAGCATTATGATTTGGAGCTGGTGCTATTAAAGGATGTCAACTGGTACTGCCAAAGTGCATTGACTAAAAGACTAGAGTTTGTTGACATTTTTATGGCACAATGAATGTTGCACTTCTAATTGTGTATGTTGTGTAATTCATTTTAATCACTGTAAAAATGCTGGGTTCCACACAATGTTGTCCCACCACAAATCAATTAAGTTAACTAATCTTTTTTACAAATTTAAGTAAAAAGTTGTCCCAAAAACTTGAGAATTTTGTTGTTCAACTCATTTAAACCAGTATTTTAAACAAACTGCAAAGGTCATTTTTGAGTAAGGGGATTGTTCACCCAAAAATGAAAATTGTCTCATTATTGACTCATCATTGACAATGTTTGAGTTTATTTCCTCTGTTGAACAAAAGACAATATTTTGAGTAGTGTTGGAAATCACTATTGACTTCCACAGTATGTTGTGTTCCAACTATTATTGCTGGTTTCAGAATATCTTGTTTTTGAGTTCAGCAGAAAAAAAAAAAAAATTATTGTCAGCACCAATATCCTTGAGGTTAAGTGCCGACATATTGCATCATGGTACTCACGACGACCCAAGTTTGATTTCCGGCTCGAGGTTCTATGCTGAACCTTTCCCTCTCTCTGCTACATATATATAAATATGTTTACAACCATTTGAGGGTGCGTTTCTATTTAATAGTAAGCATGCTTTATGAGATCTGATGTATCTTTTAACCATAGAAGTTTGGTGACAGCAAGAGCACCAAGAGCAGCAATACTTCTTACATCATTTCCATGGATTTACATCTAGAGCTGCTGGTCTTCAAGCACAGACTCGCTCTTAAACTCTCTGACTCCTGGACAGGTTAGAGAAACGTGCAATTCTTCATCATCAATGTGGAAGCATGCCGATGAACGTGTATATTTGTTTCTCTTTAGAAGAAATTAGTTTGTTGGAGTTTAAAAAGCCTCACACTAATCAAGCTCAGACTTCAGAAACACACAGACCTACAGGAGGTGAGTTTCAAATTTATGTAACATTAACACTAATACAGGTAGTGAATACTCTGATTTACTTCTTGACAGATGCTGCGCTGCTTGAAAAAATTAAGAAGAACAAGATCTCTAAGTGTGTTTTCCTGGTGCAGAAGGCTTTATTGTCATTCAGGAAGGACCAGACAAGCCGAGAGGCCAAGAAATTACTTGAGGTCAGTTTTTGAAGTCAACTCGAAACATTTAAATCATAATAATATAAAACAAACACACAATGAACCCTGTCCTTTCTCCAGGAGGCCGTAATGTTGGTAGAGAAAGCTGAGCTAGAAGAGAGAAGGCTGGTTAGTTGTTGGTTATCTTCAGAGAATAGTTCAAGACCGGCAGAGAAGAGACAGCCTCCACCAACACCAATACTTCTCTCACGCACCAATCGCTCTATGACCTTCAAGCCTGCACCATACACACTGGAGAAGGAGGTTGCATCCGTTTGAAATCAGTCATTTTTTTTGTTATTCATTCATTGGAATATTCAAGTATTCAAGTTCACTTTTATCCTGATGTAGGTTAGCTGGTACTGCATTTATGGAAGAGAATCTGAAGGTGTCAACCTTAAAGTACGTCTCAAAGACTGCTACCTGCCTGGGACTGGAGATATGGTAGAGTTGTGGGACAGTTTACCCGACAATGCAAATTATCTCATCATTTGCTACACCTTTATGAGTTTCTTTCGTCTGTTAAACACAAAAGAAGATATGATATGAAGAAAATGCTGGTTGCTAGTACCTATTGATCTCAATTATAGGATTTTTTTTTACTATAGGAGTTAATAGTTGTTTCCCAAATGACGCAATAAACACTATTCACTTATAAACTCAATAATGTAGTGTATAAGTTTAGTGCATTCCTAAATGGAACACTACCATTATTTACTAAACAGAAATTGAGGTATTATCCCATTTAACATTTAATAATTGGCAAATTAGTGAAATAGATGCCCAAACTACTAAATAGTACCTGTCATTTGTGCAACCACATTCACGATCAGGAGGCAGCATAATCACTTACATAGGTAAAGTTTGCTTGCACAATCCAAAATGAATGAATCCAACCTCAGCATTCAATAGCTCCTCCCCTTTCTCTATGTGAGCTAACCTGTGACAGGTAAGTGCATGCAGTGTCCAACATTCTACACTATTGGTTGAATAAGTGTGTATCAACTATTATTTTTAAGTGTGAATGCACTACTTCTTTATACTACAAAATGATGTAGAATAGTGCTGTGCATAAGTATTGGATTTGGGAAGCACCTAATGAAATTTTCAGAAAATCTTCTTTTGTGTTAAACAGAAGAAGGAAACTAAAGCAGGTTTTGAACAAGTGAAGGGAGAGTAAACAATAAGGTCATTTTCATTTGTTGGTGAACCATCCCTTTAACTTTTTAACATCAGTTTGTTTGTTTATATACTCAATACCTCAAAGTAAGTTTGTGTCTATCTAGATTCTTGCTAAAGGTGAATGCTTACTTCATGTAAGCGGCTTGGAGCCAGATAAGCAGTATATTTTTGCAGTAGCTGCTTTTGATGCCCAGGGAAAAATGGTAGGAAAGGCCATTGGAGAGACAACCAAGCCTCTTCTGGCCTCTCTGCCTCTACCTCTGCTGACAGCCTGGGCCCATATAGCTCAGGTACATGAATGGACTTTTTTGCACCAATTCAAATGGCCTTTCACGTGTCTTAATGTCCAATGTCATTTTGTTTAGGTGGCTTACCAAATAGGACTTCATTCTGTTAGCAAGAGAGCATGTAATGAGCTTTGGAGCCACTTTACCCTTCCCTTAAACTCAAATGCCGAAGGCCCAGAACTTGAGGAAAATAACTGTCTTGATAGACTGGCTCAAACAAGGTAAGGTTCTTAAATTTAAAATCATAAAAGGTCATTTCTGTTTTATATGTGTTGTTATATTTGTGTATATACAAATTTATATATTTATGCATTTTGAGGGTAATTTTGATTCTGAATAGACAATTTAATTCAAGGGATAGTTTACCCAAAAGTAAAGATTTACTCACTATTTATTCACACTTAAGTGGTTCCAAACACAAAAGAAGATGTTTTGAAGAAAGCAGAAAACCTGTAACCATTGACTTCCAAAGTATTTGTGTGGCCTATTTTGGAGCTTTCTTCGAAGCATCTTCTATGGGTCCAACAGAAAAATAGAAACTCCTAAAGGTTTGAAAGGTAACGGGTGAGTAAATGATGACAGAATTATCATTCTTGGGTGAAATCTCCCTTCAACGTTTATGCTGTCTTTAAACGAAATATCCTTTAAAATATTACAATTAATTTGCTAGCAATTTACCCACACTCATACAATTTTATATATATAGTTGAAATCAGAATTATTAGCCCTCTTTGATTTTTTTTCTTTTTTAAATATTTCCTAAATGATGTTTAACAGAGCAAGGACATTTTCACAGTATGTCTGATAATATTCTTTTCTTCTGGAGAAAGTCTTATTTGTTTTATTTCAGCTAGAATAAAAGCAATTTTGATTTTTTTTAAAAACATTTTAGGGACAAAATTATTAGCCCCTTTAAGCAATTTTTTTTCGATTGTCTACAGAACAAACCATCATTATACAATAACTTGCCTAATTACCCTAACCTGCCTATTTACCCTAACTAACCTAGTTAAGCTTTTAAATGTCACTTTAAGCTGTATAATATTTTCTTGAAAAATATCTATTAAAATATAATTTACTGTCATCATGGCAAAGATAAAATAAATCAGTTATTAGAAATGAGTTATTAAAATTATTATGAAGAAATGTGTTGAAAAAATCTTTGTCCATTAAACAGAAATTGGGGAAAGAAATAAAAAGGGGGGCTAATATTTCAGGGGCGCTAATAATTCTGACTTCAACTGTATATAAATATAAAAAATATAAACTTTTTATTTAGGATGTGTTATCAAAACATAGCATGCATTTTGATTCAAAATTTAGATTTTCAGTATACAAAAAAACTAATTTTAATATAAATGCAAATTCCTAGTGTAAAGGAATTTAAGATAAATAAAATAAAATACTTTGAAATGCTTAATTTATTTTGAGATTGGATGTATTTGTTTGGTGAGGACAAAATAAAATAAAATAAAATAAAGAAATTTGTCTTGTTATGAATCTTTTCCTTTTGTCTTCTATTTTGATTTCATGCAGACTCCGCCCAGAGACCCTACACCTTTCTTCTCCTCTCCTACAGCGGTTGTTTTTCTTCACTATTTTCATCCAGACAGATATTCACATCCAAGAGGAGGCACTATTCTGTGACAGTCTCTGTGATGGGGGCCCTTTGATCTGGGGCCAGGTTAGTCAAATTGCCCCTATGAAACATTTTTATTTTTAATCATAACTGATATAAAAGGCTAGTTTATGTTAAACAATTAACCCTAGTCCTGTCCTTATCCACTCTATCTGCACATTCATCACAGGAGGCCAGACTTGCAGAATGTGAACGGATGATGGTAGCCATTGATCTCGCTCTGCACCTCA